AAAGTTCATATTAACATATATCTCAAACTCATTTATTAAACAGATATCAAAGGTTAAAGATTTACTATTTATTAATTATTACAACATTTAGAGTAACTGTTCAAAAGAGACTCCGTTTTGTTGAATGCAATATTCAACACGACGAATCCATGCTGGATCTTCGATTAGCATCAAGATGGTGCTTGATAGTTACTGCGGCTTCCACGATCCGATTTCTTAGCTCTTCTTGCGTGTCAACTGCCGCAGAATAAACCATAGACTTCACCCAGTAGAGGAAAAATCGAAACGACGTTGCATTCTTCTGGTACTAGTAGTAGTAGATAACTGAACAGCATCGAGTATTTCTTCTTCAACGTTTGCAGTTAGTCCAAATCTTTGTCGACCGGCGTTAACTCGTATAGGTTTTAGCCTGCCATTATCCCTAAGGCGTCTTTCAATGGCCTCAAACGATTTACGATTCGGTATTCTTCGGTTAGGAAATTTTTTACGATAACGATGTACCTCGCTATAAGTTAAAACCATGTCTGTTTGTTCTGCAAAGTGAATATATTTATAGTGTCTCCCATGATAACCATAAATTGAACTGTGTCACAGTGTTACCGCGCGCTCTGTGACAAAACCTCGTACTCAAGCCTCGTACATCCTCGTACGCTTGCTCATTCATAACTTCCACTGTTATAATGCCAGTGTTATTGTTTTTGTTTTTTTAATAATAAAATTAGATCAGAATTTTTTATTTTTACCTCCATTCATATATTTTAAAGCCTTTTTACATTACTTTTTTTTAATAGATAATGGGTCAAGAAGTAAAATTAGCTTAATAAAATATATAAAAAAGTTAATATATTTTTATAAACTACTGAAAACGTTATATAAAAATTAAAATAGCTAAATAAACTTCTTAAAGTACTCTTCATAAGTATTCATCCGTAGATCCAAGATTTAATTTGGGGGAAGGACTATTTTTTTTTTTTTTTTCTAAAAACAAAACAACTACTTTTACGAAAGGATGTTAGTGGTTTTGGAAGGCCAATAAAAATTAATTATTGGGGCATTAATGCTTTTAGAGATATCCATTATAATACAAAAAAAAATAATAGATTGTGATTGTTTCAGTATTTAGCTTACAATTAGATCTTGCACAAAATGAATGTGGACCTCTGAAAAAATACTTTTTTTTTATTATTGACGATGGGTTCATTATGAATACTAGTTAATTTTTCAATTGATTACTTTACCCGATTAAAAACAGAAACTAATTTTTTTAAATTACGGTAATCATTTAAAAAAAAAAAATAATTTATCTCGAATATATTTACAATTGCAGTTTTATGAAAGAAACAATAATTACGAAGGAAATAATGGATATACTTTCTCGTATTTTATTTTATGCTCGATAAAAATGACGGTAAAAATGTCTGTTTAATTTTCTTTTACAACACATTTTAAAAATATATGTATTTATAAAATAAGTTTTATGAAGGAAATAATGGATATGGTTTCTTATATTTTATTTTATATTAAATAAAATCTAAAATATTTTTTTATTCCTTGGAAATTAAAAAAACAACATATATATACAATCATGGTTTTATGAAGGAAATAATAATCATACTCTAATTAAAGAAGATATAATTGTAATTTACTTGTCTATAAAGCAACAGAAGTTCAGTATTTCATATCAACACAAATAATAATACAGCCAAAGTAACCGTAAGACAATTCTAAACTTCATTCATAAAAATATAACCTTGCATTGCAAACGTCAGCAAAACTTATGTACGAGGTACGAGGCTGATCTATCCTCGTACCTCGTACATTACGTCATAACCTCGTACAAATACGAGGATCCTCGTACAAACGGCAACACTGCTGTGTCACAGTATTCACTCACACTAAAACACACAGAACTCTAGACAAACATATGAGCAACTACTGTCATTGCTTCATTTGTTTATCAGGTGATTAAAACCTGTTATTTAGTATTTAACACGTTAAACTTTGTACAGTCAGTCTTAATGTAGTAAATAAATAAGAAATATTTAATCTTTGATATATGTTTAATAAATTAGTGTGAGATATATGTTAATACGAACTTTTTGTTTATTTTGTAACTAAAATAGTGCCGTGCAATTACGAAACACCCTATATAGAAACTATATATTCACTAGGGCCCTAAATTCATGACGCTTGAATTAATAATTTATTTACTAACAAGGGAAGTTACGGACCTGGGATCACCAATTTTAATGAATATTTTTTTGTGATACTATTCCATTTTGATTATATTCATAACTCAGGATTTTCTCCTAAATCAAAATTACCACAACCGTTGTAAAGTTAAATCATTTCTCTTCAAAACTGTATCAACAACTTTTAAATTTGACACCTTAACAAAGAATAAAACAAGGAAAACTCCCTAAAAGTTTATATTTTTTATCTCCAAGCCTAATTTATTTACGACTGGTTGGTGTAATGTTGTGTATATAATAGGGTTCTAAATTCATGCCTATTTTCGTGTGAATAAATGGAGCCATGTCGATGTTTTTTCGGAAAAAAAATCGAAGTCTAGAGCCTAGTCGAGAATTTTTAAGCAAATTTTTGCAATGGAATTTCGTATTTAAGGTTATTTTTAGGTGCGAAATACAATTATCAACTTCGTTTCTTCTTAAGAAATAATTTAACCTACTTTACTCCCTGTGGCAGGATTAATTGTTTCAATATTATATTCCATAGTATATTTGTATGCCGAATATATATTTTTTTCTAAAAGGGATGTAAACTACCGAAAGTAGTTTACAAGCTTGAGGAGTTATGGGATATTATAGATATACCGCATGAAAAAATATCCTCCCATAACATTGAGTGAAAACATTTATTTTTATTTTAAAACAAACTCGAATTCAATATGAGAATGTACGTATAAATAGTTCCTTTTTTTATTTTATTTTTTCATTACACCACAAGTAATCCTATGATTTTATTTTATCTTAGTGTCTGCATATTATTATATATATCAATATAGATATTATTAAATTTTTTATTAAGTTAGTTTTCTATTAGATAGCCTATTGTTTATAAATTGTGTGGTTATGTATATATAAATATGTAATTTCTTTCCTTTTTTTTTTTCATCACAATAATAAGTAATTTTGAGAAGATTTTATGAAGCCTGAGGAGTTATAGATATACCGCATGAAAAATATCCTCCCATAACATTGAGTGAAAACATTAATTTTTATTTTAAAACAAACTCGTATTCAATATGGGAATGTACGTACAAATAGTTCCTTTTTTTATTTTATTTTTTCATCACACCACAAGTAATCCTATGATTTTATTTTATCTTAGTGTCTGCATATTATTATATAAATCAATATAGATATTATTAGATTTTTTATTAAGTTAGTTTTCTATTAGTTAGCCTATTGTTTATAAATTGTGTGGTTATGTATATATAAATATGTAATTTCTTTCCTTTTTTTTTTTTTCATCACAATAATAAGTAATTTTGAGAAGATTTTATGAAGCCTGAGGAGTTATAGATATACCGCATGAAAAAATATCCTCCCATAACATTGAGTGAAAACATTTATTTTTATTTTAAAACAAACTCGTATTCAATATGAGAATGTACGTATAAATAGTTCCTTTTTTTATTTTATTTTTTCATTACACCACAAGTAATCCTAAGATTTTATTTTATCTTAGTGTCTGCATATTATTATATAAATCAATATAGATATTATTAGATTTTTTATTAAGTTAGTTTTCTATTAGTTAGCCTATTGTTTATAAATTGTGTGGTTATGTATATATAAATATGTAATTTCTTTCCTTTTTTTTTTTTTCATCACAATAATAAGTAATTTTGAGAAGATTTTATGTTCATTTATATAAGTATATTTTTTTTATTTTTTAGTGGTTACATACTTTTTAAATAATATTAAATACATACTTTTTATATAATACTTTTACATACTTTTTATATAATATTAAAAATTTTATACTTTTACTTTAATTTTACTTCGTATTAATTGATCATTGTTATTCTAAAGGGACTTAGTCCCAGAATGAAGATTAATTTTCTATTCTATTCTATTTAAGAGTTTTAGTAAACCTTAAAAACAAATCTGAATCGTTTTTTGACGACAAAAATTTACTGGGCCTACGTCTGGGACGTCTATGGGTTTTTGTATTTTGTAATACATTAAATTTCGTTTAATACAATTAGCAATATATTTTTCTTATTTGGAACAAAAAAGCAAATTGATTGATGTATATTGACATAGAAATCCATGCCAGAAAACAGTATTACAATAAAATAATAAATTAAAAAAAAAAGCTTATTGGCTCCTAGAGGCCATTAGCTAGAACCTTCGGACATGGGTCTAATATTTTTCGACCTAGTATCACTAAAAAAAGTTCCATTGAAATCGGTGACCCTACTTCCCTAAACTCTCCTTGTTCTACAGAAGCATGTCTCTTATATCTCTCACCACTACACTGAGTTAAGGTGGCTCTTCACCTCCTTTAAAAGACAATATTTCCTAGGTACGTTCCTCTATCAAATCATCAACAACCATCGTCCTTCTTACGCCTACAACCTTCTTCAATTCAAGTCCTAGGTCCATTCCCTTTCAAAAAGATCTCGACCTTCTGACCTCTACATTTCTTCTCACAGATCTGCCTCATTTCAAAATTCCTTTATAGCTCGCGCTGTCAATTTCTGGAATTCTCTACCTATCAAAATTCGGCATTCCCCTCCATATCTCTCCTATTCCAATTTCTATCCCAAAAACAGTCAGATACATACTAAACTTTTGATATTATACATTTCTAGTCATCATCAAACGATACTACTATTCTATACTGTGAACTTCACTAGAGATATTACAATATCTTCCTGCTCTTAATGCCACTGAATACATCTATTGTTTTGTTTTTTTATTACTTTTTATTCGTATATAATTAAATCTGTACCTATAACTAATTTGACAATGACGAGTCTACATATTATTCATTATTTAAATACAATGACATTTTATATTGTCAGCTTTTTCTTTTCTTTGTTAGCAGAAACACACCTCATTTTAAAGGAGAACTCATGTATTTTTTATTATTTTATTTTTCAAAAGAGTATAATTATAATTTTTCCTACTGTACATAGTCTTAAGTGTTCTATCATAGTTTTAAGTGTTTTGTATATAGATTTTTTTTTGTTTATAGCTTGTTTAACTAATATTTTCTTTACTTTCTCTTTTTTATTATTGTTTTATTTTGGCCAGATGTAGTATTTTGATTATGTTCTATTTTGTTATTCTAAAGAGGCTTTGTCTCAGAATAAAGTTATTTTCTATTTCTAAGCATGAACTTTTACTAATCCATTACTTGTGAACTTGTAATCGCTTAAGATCTATTTACATGATCTAATAGATTATTTAACCTTACATAAATATTCTTATATTTACTACAGTAACAAAGTAATATATACATATCGTTGTATGATAGAAAGTGTTTATATTCCAAGAAGTCGTGTATTTTTCTCAGAGGAGAAATCATGAGAAATGGGCTGGCTGTTTTCATATAGATCTCTCCAGCTACCTTATTTACCATTGGAAAAGTCAGCCTTAAGCGAAAGTTTTCGAAAATAGCATACCTATACACCGAACATAGCATCACCATAATATAATAATAATTATATATTGCTTATCATTATTATATGAATAATTTTCATCAGAGTTAAATTAAATTTAGTTTCCAAAAAGGTAGATTTTTACAAATTTCAACTTACCTTAAAGCAATAGATTTATTTATATATTGATTCGTCAATATATATATATATAAATTAATTATCCAAAATATAAAGCCATGAGCCTTCAAAAGGCAAATTAACTTCTTTTTTTCTGGGAAGTTGTATGAGATTCTTTGTTATTTGGCAATGCTTACTTCCAATTAATAACAATTGAATATATTTGTTGTATTATCAAAATTGCATGTTTACAAGTTTACGTTTAGGGATATTTACTCCTATCTTCAGAATCACAATCCCAACTACCACGATCTTGTGGATACATGGCTAGTTTTGAGGTAATTACAAATTTATTTTAACAACCAAACTCTGACATGTAACATGCACTATATTTTAACTCATCAATTTTTTTTTTTTAGCTATGTATCCACAAGATCATTGGGATTCGGGTTCTGAAGATGGGAATGAATATCCCGAAACGTAAACTTGTAAACATGCAATTTTGATAATACAAAAAATATATTCAATTGTTGTTAATTGGAAGTAATCATTGCCAAATAACAAACAAGTTAACTTATTTTAGCGATTATTCAAAATTATACCTTAACGCACTAGCGGATCCAGGGTTTAATTTTTTTTAGGGGGGGGGGGCTTCAGCCCGACAGCTTTTTTTCATACGTATAACGATAATTACTTCGAAAAAAAAAGAAAGATACTAACTACATGTATGAAATGGCGTTTAAGTGGTTCTTTAAGTCCTATGTAGTTAAATGTAATTACAATAGCAATAATACTTTAACAAATATTATTATCCATAAAACATGGTTACATTTTACCATTTTGGGGAGGAGGGAAGTCCGAAAGACCTCTCTATCCCCATAGATTCGCCTGTGCCTAAACGCGATGCCGTGTTAAAGAGGTGAAAATGGAAAAAATAGTGTCGAAAACTAAATGATAACGAGTTTTATTGGTGATATGAATAAACATATCTCAGAAAAGATAGTGCCAACAAATCAATTAAGTTTTTATCATTTGGACTAAAATATCTCAAAACTTTAATACAATGGGGAATACAGAAACTGATTTGTTGAAATATATATAGATATTTTTTTTTAGCTCAGTCATACAAAAAAGAAATAAGAAATCATGTGTTTCTATTAGATTTTCCGCACTCGATAGAGTTTCGACAAAAGTTTTGTTTAAAAATGAAGGAATTTTTGGTAAATATTTAGCAAATTTCCATCAAAAAAATTCATCAGATATTATAGCTATCATGATAATATTATTGCTGCATCGTTTGTATAGTATGGTACAAATGAGGATCAGTGAGAGCAAAGTTAACTAAAGTAATTTACACAACATTATAATTAGATATATTGTAAATGTTATTTTTTTGTGAATATAGAACAAAAAGTAGTTTATACACAACCATAATTATATAAATTGTTAATGATATTATGAGAAGGAGTTGATCGGGGAGTGCGGTCAAATTAATACTAAATTAAATAAGTAAAATTATTTAATTTTTGCCGACGTTTCGACCAACTTTTAAGGTCTTCATCAGGGCGTAAGATGTAGCACTGCGGGAGGCAGTTGAAACACTTCAGTGCCTCTCCACTGCCTCCCGCAGTGCTACATCCTATGCCCTGATGAAAACCTACAAAGTGGGTCGAAACGTCGGCAAAAATTAAATAATTCTACTTATTTAATTTAGTATTAATTTGAGCGCACCCTCCGATCAACTCCTTCTCATATTATATCAACGGTCAACCATCTCTACATCGTTAATGATATTACTTTGTGAATATAGAACAAAAAAAAAGTTATAACTCATATTATTAATCCAGCCTTGTTGATGTTCCCGTCAATCCCGTACCACTAGATCCCGTACTTCCGAGCTCTATCCTCCTCCTCACCGAACTGCTGTTTATGACAAATCCTTTGCAATACAAGCCGCCTCCATCTGGAATTCCATCCCTGCTGATATTCGACACGCTCAATCAGTTTCCTCTTTCAAACCTCTCCTCTTTAAACACATACTCCTTTCTCAATTCGATCGATTACGAAATATACCTAAGTGAACTATTTAAGCACCCCAGAGACTATTTATGTTATTTTAGTTTCCTATGTTTGTTTTATAAATATGAACAATTTTCTTTTCTTTTCTCTTTCTTTATATATTTTTACTTTTAATTAACTATTATAGTAAGTAATTAATTTATTAATGGCCACACTAGAATTCACCATGTACTTATAATTTGTTCTAAAGGAAAAACCGTCCCAGAATAATAAAATATATTACTTTCCTACTTATACTAGGTAAGGAAAGTATTACGATCGGGTCAAGTTTCCGATATGCGGTTCTCGACGGATCTATACGTTTCAAAGCCCTCCTGAGTCCGAAAAACGCATTTTTAGCCATCAACCTTTCTGTCGGTCTGTGCCAAGATTTTCTCGGGAACAAATGAACGGAATTTGTAGGGTTTTGACTACTGATGCCTGTGACAGAAATTTGATGCTCCATGCACAATAAAAACACCATTTAGCCTTTTTTTTTAAAGGTGATGCAATTCGCTACAAAACTATATAAAAATGGTTCATTTCGGACAATTATTAACGAAGTTACAGCTATTCAATTTCCAATGTAAGATTACGAGTTCATACCCTCGTGTCAGAATGGGGTGAATGAGAGAAAAAAAAGATAACTAAGTGGAAGTAAGAAAATCTGTTGCCCACATAGAATCAAACAAGCTTCACTATTTCCTCTAATTTTAACAGAAATTATTGTTGTACAAAATTAGGCTATGGCAAAAAGTTTTTGATCAGCAATATTAGGGGGTATTGAAATGTTTACACTGATCTACGTTAAATCGGTTCATATTGCTTTAGTTTATCAAACAAATCGTTCTTAAATCTTTTCTTTGATCTATTTTCAGGAAAATAAATGTAATTCGATATTTTTTTTGTTTCTTGATGGACATATGTAAAGATATTTAAACGTTTCTAAAATAGGTAGGAATGTCGTGTGAGTGGACACACCAGACTTTTTTCATTTCATTTCATTCATATACATAAAAATCTCTCAAAGCCGGAATCAAACTCAGGACCTGCAGAATTAAAGGACAGTTCCTTGATCACTAACCACCCTAGTTCTTTAATTTTGTTATAATGACTCATGATGTTTTTGAAAATATTTTTCTTCTTCATTGTGTTTACGGAAAATCGATAGAAATTATCAAAGCGCTATTGTTTATTTATCGGCTGGATGGGACAAGGCACGTGGGACTAAGCCAGCAGTCTCCTATCGACAGCTGATATCGCCAGAGAGGCGTGCTCATGGGGGCCTGTTATCAGACCGTTCGCTCTTATCACTTTTATTACGAAACACCTTCTTAATAAAAGCCTTTGTTTATATAATAATAATATAATCCAAGCTGTGTCCCGCGGATTTCAAAGGCAGTGTATCATTATTTTTAATAATTAAATTTAGAAGAGTAAAAGATTCGAAATTTAACTTTCACCATTTTAGTCAGTGGTAAAGACCTGTTTTTATCAAATTATTAACATCCGCCTAAAACTTCGTAAATAGCTTCATCTCATCCTAACCTATAAACATTTTATTTACGAAAATTATAAAAATTGTGTTTTCAATCACGAATTAACTAAACTTTGTCTATTAAATTTGGTACTAAAAACACATGAATACCCATTTGCTTTCCACTTGAATCGTACGATAAGAACGAAAAAAAAAAAAAAAAAAAACGCTGCTAATTATTTCACAATGGTTTATTATTTCCAAACAATTATACATCTAAAGTAACATTACCTTCCGAGTTACAAAGAAAAAAAAACAAAAGGTGATTCCAATTATTGGACGAAACTGTTGTTCTTTAATCATTAGTAATATGCTAAAAAAAATAGCATTAGTTTAGTAATACATTCAAAATTTAAAAACCAAACCAAGGATATAACATTTGGAGTAGAACAGATAAAAAAAAAAACCGGAGACCATATCTTTGCTCCTAATTGTCCGATTTTAACGATTTATTTTTTGTTTTTTAGGAAATTTCGTAAACTTTTAAAAAACCTTTAGGTCCAGGTAGTTCGCAGAGAAAATGCGCGGACGGCGGACGGACAAAAAATTTTTTATTCGTTTTTCGAATTCTACGCGTCTTGAAACGTAAAACCTCAAATTTTGAGAGGGGGCTATGTTTTTGAATTTTTTGGTCGATCACAATGTTTCATTATTGAAAATAATAAACCAAAAGAAGGGCCATTCGGCTTATATAACCTAGTTATTTTTACATTTTAGGCGTGGACGTGTACTAACAGGTGTACTAATAGTATGTGGTACAGAACCTTTTTTATCTAATTATTAACATCCCCGCCTGAAACTTCGTAAATAAAACTTCGTCCTCATCGTAACATACTATTTTATTTACGAAA